ACCCACGCGCGCCCTGTTGTTGTTTCTATAGTGGCGCGACTGAAACGGAAATTGCTGAGTCACGTACTCATCAAGGCATCAGCCATCTCAGACTGGCGCCATGTTTAGTACTTCTGAGCAGCACTGTGTTACCAACATCAGTTGTTTTTGCTTTGCTTTGTACAAAGTAAAAAAAAAAAAAGGAGGGCGAAGAGTTAAGGGAGAGAAAAGCAGCTGTTAACGGTTTTAAGCATCTGCCGCCTTTCTTGACAAACAAGATCATGCGCAAGTTAGGAGACAAACTGACGAATGGGCACTTCATATACTTTGTCAAAATACATTGCGGATCATTGTATACGGACAAGTAATAATTGCTGCACGAGCTATTTCAAACATGTCTTCAATTGTCCGCACAAATACAATACCTTAAATTCCTTCTGGAAATCTAGGAGAGCATTCTTTCGTGCTAGCTATCAAAGAAGTAGTTTCGGAATGTCAGCTTCTTGTTTATAAGCCCTTCCGTATCCCAAGGCTTGACCATATTATACTTTCACTACTGCATGGCAGACGTCAAAGACTCCCAGTTTGCAGTCGTACGTCTGTAATCTGCTCTTAAAATTGTTATCTATCTGACGCCATCTTAAAGCAGGCTTAACATCGTGTCCTACGTCTACATCCATATAACAAATCAGACTTATCTTAAACGCGTTTTGCGCCAACACCCACCAACAAAAAAGGGTGTATCCAGCCTGAGCTTTGAAAAGAAAAAAAAGTATGCTGTACCGCCTGCAGTCTGCGAGTGTCTCGCGGGCGCCGCCATTTTGTCGCCTCGTGCAGAGCGCTTGAAACTCGCCATGGCTACGATTCGAAAATGAGGCCTTCTTCTGAGCTCTAGATACAGTGTGTATCCAGAGCTACGCAAAATTATCGGCTTAAACGTGGAGGACCCGCCAGGTGGCGCAAGCCGCCGCCTTATTCATAATGTTTGCCCTTATTCATTCATCCACCCGTGGCTCTAACACCGGATCCGCGGAAATTTCCTTCCCGCAACTTCACGTGTCACTAACGAGGTTTCCCGAAGCGGTGCGCCGACCAGTTCAGACGCCTGAGTGCGCAAGACGCGGGGAAAAAAGACAAAAGGAAGCGTGGAGCAGAAGGCCTAGATTTCAGAGTGTTTTTAACTGGTTAATCAAGATCACGTGGCTGCTACGAGGAGCAGACGAAAGCGTTGGGTGTCTGCAAGCGTGCCAGCCTCTCCTCTCGCTAGCGCTGCGCATGCGCAGGACGCGTCCGCCATTAAACTGCAAACGTTCTCCGTGGTCCTCCGTTGGGCCCTCTGTTTCATCTAGGCTTTCTGGGAGCGAGTAACGACAGAGGCGACGCTGTGCGGCGAGCGGAAGCGCCGGGGTCGAACCGGCGTGTCCCGCCAATGAGATTGTTCTCCCCTTTTTACCGCCGCCGCCGCGTGAATAATGAATGCCGGTCTTAACCAGGTGAGGCCCCGCTTTTCCGCCCTGAAATCGCTTCTTTTTGGCTTTGTTCGCCGAGCCTGCCTCTCTCGGAGTGCGCCTTTTGCGAGCGGTACGAGAGATGGGCGTTTGTTTCTCGGAGCAGTACCAGCTATACTCGTTGTCTCATTAAAAAAAAGAAAAAAAAAAGAAAAAAAAAGTCTGCTTATGGCCTACGCGTTCAGTAGTTCTTACAAGATATGGTTGTCGGGAGAGAAAAACGATACTTTTGGCCCTTGGAACGAGTACGTCTTGATAAAATGACACGTATAGCTAACCTTAAACACACCAACATATATATTCATTCGCTACATAAAGGGGGAAATTACTAATTAGTAATGCTCCGCGAGGTGCCGCACGTTTTATTTTTTTATTACTGTTCATAAGGTGAATACAAATATGAATAGGGAGCGGGTCAAATCGGTGGTAGTTGTTTGGAAATGGGCGACTACGTGAGCCTAATCTAATCTAAAATGCACTTTCCTATATCTTAATGCTCCGCATAAAGGGGACCAATTAGTGGGCAGGCACGTAGCCGGGATTTTGTTTCGGCGGGGGGGGGGGGGGGGCCTAAGACAAAATGCTGGATGGGGGAGGGGGGGGGGGAGGAAGGAGAGGAAGCCCCAACAAAATGGAAGACTTCGGGGGGGGGGGGGCATAGTCTCCCCCCCCCCCCCCCCCCCTTCTTCCTGGCTTCGTGCTTGTTAGTACGTAATGCTCCGCGAACAGCCAGGCGTTTCTTACTACAGTTCTGGGAGTGAGAACAAGACATAAACGTCCGATGGACCAAAAAAAAAAAAGTAACATTAAACGTGTTTTGCTTTAACATAGACAAAAAACAGTGATCCGAGAATTCTGGCTACCCGATAAACTGCCTAAACTGCCAAAATCCCGGCCCAGAACACGTCAACTGTCCTTGTCAAAAAACATAACACCAAAAATAATTACACCGCCCCTCACGAAAATAAATAAAGAAAGAAAAGCATCGTCGAAAATGGCAACGTTGCGGCATCCCGGCACTCGGAGTCTTTCCCCCACCGGCTGTACCACCGTCGTCGTCGCAACCATTCCGAGATGCACGGCGAGACTCCACGCACGACGCTCGCACATAAGGACCTCGCGAACGCGACCCCCGGGAAGACGCCGGCCTCGTTAATCACGGCCCGGCCCACGAACGACTCTTCGGAGAGGCGTCGCCAACTCTGTCGTCGGGGGTCGCAGAAGTCCTGCCCCTCCCTCCCCCTTCACTCCTCCGCAATTAATTGGAGGCTTCGCCATCTTGCCGCCGCATCCTCCTCTCCCTCCTCTTCCTCCATCCGCGTCCTGAGAGCGCGGTGAATACGAGCGCGCATTAAACTAATTGCTCGGTCGGGAGGACGAGGAGGCGAACGGAAGAGGAACAGAAAGAGACAGATAAATCTGTCCTCCGCGTTCTCGACAGCGGCGCCGCCGATGGAGGCGCCTCTACCGGCTGTCGCCGCAAGCTTCGCAGTGAGGACTGGGGATTCGGAGCGGGGTAACGCCGAAGACACCGCACGGCGTCGTGTGCGGAGATGAAGAGAGAAAGGGATTCTGTATTTACTGACAACTTTACAAATGCAGGATATGTTGAGTTATTATCGTTGCGCAGTCAGTGGTATTACGGTATTAGATTAGATGAAGACTAAAGGAAGGTCACAAAGCAAACAGCGGTTCACTATGCCGAAATTGTTCTCGCTACCTTTTGAACGTGGTTTCTGTCATACGCAGCTCCAATATTTGAAAGCGGATAAGCAGGTGGTGTGGCGGTTGGGTGGTCGTTTTGCCACATGTTTATATTAGAACTCGAAGCACTAGCCATACACATGTCATGGGTATCGGTCATTACAAGCCGATTAAGTGTTTGTGAGCCACCGAATCCCACATCGAAATTGGGATGTTTTGAGCGTGTTCCTCTCGCACTAGAAAACGCGATGGGCGTATGCATGCTCGCTCGTTCATAAAATAAATACGTCAACGTTAGAAACGATCAATACGAGAATCAGGATAGCAAGCTTGTAGTGAATCGTTTTAGAGCGCAGCTCTTAGGGGCCCGTTCCCGGCTTGAGCGGCGTCGCCGTCGCCGTCGCCGTCGCCGTCGGCGTAACCGCGCGGTGCATTATGGGTAAATTTCCCCGCTAAATCTAGCGGAAAAAATTTCCCCGCTAAATCTAGCGGAAAAATTTCCCCGCTAAATCTAGCGGAAAAAATTTCCCCGCTAAATCTAGCGGAAAAAATTTCCCCGCTAAATCTAGCGGAAAAATTTCCCCGTCAAATCTAGCGGAAAAAATTTTCCCGCTAAATCTAGCGGAAAACTTTCCCCGCTAAATCTAGCGGAAAAAATTTCCCCGCTAAATCTAGCGGGAAAATTTCCCCGCTAAATCTAGCGGGAAAATTTCCCCGTCAAATCTAGCGCAAAAAATTTTCCCGCTAAATCTAGCGGAAAACTTTCCCCGCTAAATCTAGCGGAAAAAATTTCCCCGCTAAATCTAGCAGGAAAATTTCCCCGCTAAATCTAGCGGATAAAATTTCCCCGCTAAATCTAGCGGAAAAATTTTGGTCACGTGACCCGGGGGTCACGTGACCTGGGGAGTCACGTGACCCCCTCCCGAGGTCACGTGACCTCTGAGGGGGCACGTGACCCCCGAGGTCACGTGACCCCCCCCCCCCCCCCCCCCCCCCCGAGAACACGTGGCCCTCAGTACCCTCCCCTCCTCCTCCTCAAGAGCTGCGCTCCAATTCGGCGTTACAGGGAGTGGTAAACGGCTTTCACTTTTTTTTTTGTTTTGTTCTTTCAGCTTTTTTTTGCAAGAAGACGTTACCTAGCGGCCAGCGTACGAAGAGGAGATTTCTTTTTCCATAAATATTTGTAAACGGGTTTATGTTCTTGCATCTTTCCCAATACAGTTGTGAGTAGCGCCCGTGTTTGTCTTCTATCTTGTGTACGTCTTTTTAGCGCTTTTAACCATGCTTCAATACAGTACGAAGTTACTTTGGATGAACGTTCCCGGGCTGCTCTCCCCCCTCATGAACAGCAACTGACGGAAGTTTCCCCACTTGCGAGTTGTTCGCGCTTGCGCAAAACATGCGTCGGCCGTTGCTCCGATCGCGAGTGATGTCTGCTATTTCGCCCGTCCCGTTGCCTCCGAAGCAAGCGCAAGCCTCCACCGCTAGGTGGCAGAAATGCTCGCGCATGCGCAGAATCACCCTTCTTGAAAGAAGCGCATAGGGAGTATTCACTGGCGGCCATATCTGTGTGCGCGAATTCTGAGCGCGTGCTGATGGCGAGCTCCCACAGTTCTTTTGCAACGTGCATTCCGCACCATCAAGCATGCCGGTCTTAGCAGCCTATTAATATTAGCTCGTTCTGAGCATGCGCTTTAAACAGGACCCACAAATATGGCGTCCAGTGAATACTTCCTATAAATACGTGATAAGTAGTATAAGTATCAGTCGTCGGCGGCAGGGCGAGGTAAGGTGGTGCATTCTACTCACGTGCCACGTGTATGCCGTTTGCCGGCGGCGCGGCGGCGCCGGGGGCTGCCGCGAACTTGTCGAGCACGTCGTGGTCCGCCCTGCAGAAGAGGCCGTCGTCTCGCAGCGCGAACTCGTCGCCCGGGATGAGCTGCCGGGCGCAGGCCTGGCACCGAAAGCAGTCCAGGTGGTAGATGTGCTGCCGGGCCCGCATCACGAAGTCCGTGCGGCTGAAGCCCTGCTGGCACTTGGAGCACTTGGCGCCGAACAGCCTGCACCACAACCCAGAGAGAGAAACGAAAAGCTTTGCTTTTGGTTGGCCTCGTGCACACCAACGAGCCGTTCGCAAACAACTCGCGTTTGCCAACATGAGGCGTTGACGCTGCACGTGCGCGGAAACCAGATTCTCACAATTCGTCTGCGCATGTGAATGCAGTCCCCACCACAATTACGTGGCGTCAGAGAGTCGAGGTGGTGCATACGGAGAGAAACTCAGAGGGCCGAGCTCTGATTGGAGGGATTAGTGGGTAGCTGCCACTGCCTCCACCCACCGTCTTTTTACGCTCAGAGCGAACAAGAGCGTCGTCTACTCCTTTCGCAGTGTCTCGCGTTCGAACGCCGAACGCCGGCATTCGAGGTTCGAACAGTGAGTAGAGACAAGGGCAGCTGGCCTCCTGTGTCTAACCACTAATCCCGCCAATCAGAGCCCGGCGCTTTCATCTCTCCTCCTCTACCTCCGTTTCCCACTGTACATGTCGATGCACTGCCAAGGTGTCTACAAAAAAGACGTTTTCAAATTCCCCGACTGCTTCATCGAAATCCCCGCATCGACTCCCGAGGGTACAGGACGTGTCTGAAGTGCAGTTTTTATTCCAGAACGCCGGTACAGTATCCGACCTCTTCCCCAGTTCGAATCTCGAGATGTTCTCACCCGCAGCAGGAGAAATGAACTCAAGTCACCGCGAGATCCATGCTTCGAATGCCGCATGGCAGTGAGTTCAAGGAAAAAACTTGTCACGCGGCATTCGAACCACGGATGTTGTATAGAGACTCGTGTTTGCAGACTGTCGGTTGCATGATGTGTGAGCTTAGTGTGAACCCGGTTTTGCAGTCGAGCAAATACTCGTGATCCGTTTTGAGCATGAGATGGGGTCCAATGCACGCGGCCGTAGGCCCTCTCAGAGTTGCGAAAATTTCACGTAAGATGGCGCCACCTGTCCACCCAAGCTTCAGTGACGGGTGGGTATCGGTAATCTGTCTTGTTTCTGGCTGCGCACCGCGCGACACGATGTCAAGCCGTATACACGAAGAGTCCGGTCGGGCCCCAGAAATAGCCTCGAAACGCCGCTACGAGACGCGGTGACTCCTCGAGCAGAGAGCACCGCCGTCTTCTCCTTGTTTACTTTGTTGAAGAAGTCGAGGGGTGCAGTCGCGTCGATACAAGCAAACGACGGGAAGAAATAAAATAAAAGAGGCTCCGCCCCGAGAGGCTGCCAGAGGGTCCGCCCATCCGACGCCGAAGCAAGGCTCTCCGCGATCGATCGACGAGAGCATCGTGCGGGCGGCGTGCGGCCCACGATATCGAACAAAGAGAAGGAACGCGAAGCGACGTGACCTCCGTTCGTGCCGCACACGTCACCGTGCCAGGAAGACCGCCAGATTCAGATTTTTGTTTTAACTCTTACTTTTCTTAGTTTGCTTATTGTTATTATTATTTTTTTTTTAACGCAGTAGTAAGGGGATTGAATAATCTGTTAACCTCACACAACATCTCCGTGGAGACAGGGTTCGAGCTACGGTGCTCAAGACTCGTGTGCTCAAGACCACACACTCATACTATGTATTCAAGACCACATCATACTCGTGACAACAGCGACGGACTCAAACTCAAACTCTTTATTTCTCTCCGTTTGGAGACGGCTTCTCGCCCTCTCCAAACGCGCTTCTCCGAACCCCGCAGCTTGGAGAAGCGCGAGGTTACAACGCAGAACCTACGAAACCTGGGTCTGATCAGCGAATCTCTTGACTCGGCTTTGTCAGACCTCTTGACTGTTCTGGACCTCTCGACCCAGAGTACATCTCCATCTTGGATCTCTCGACTGGTTGGACCCAGTGCTTAAAGTCTCCTGTAAGTTGAGGGAGATCCCAAGAAGGTAGGGGGGCGGGGGGATACTAGATGCACATAAAATAAAGCTCACTGCTGACTCTGCCCACGGTGCACCTGTAATCCCCAAATTGCTAATCCCCAAATGTCAGATCCCTGAGAACAAGCTAATTTATAGCAAGATGTGATTTTGATTTAACTAATGCTGGGGCTGTGGAGGAGGGTCTCACCATCCGTTAAAATCAGTGGAGGTTCCAAGACCCCCGAGACCCCCCCAGATTTCAAGCCCTGGTTGGACCACTTCATCTATAATGGATCTCGATGTTGGGTCGCTTGGCTCGCTGTCACGTGACTATTCCACCTCTTGACTCCACGCGTACTGGTAGACTTGTTGGACTTGTCAACTAGTTGGACCTCTCGACACGTTGGACTTCTCCACTCGTTGGACTTCACTTGTTGGACATTTTCACGTGGATCTCCATCTGGAATCTCTTATTTCGTTGGACACCTTCACCTACATTGAATCTTTATATTTGATCTGTTGACTCTTTCAACTCTTTGACCCATATTCGATCTCCTTATAGTATTTCCTGGCCCGCTGTCATGGGACCACTGGACCTCTTGACTGTTGGACATCTTGACTCGTTGGATCTTTTGACTCTTTTGGACTTCTCGACTCGTGTTAGATCTCCCCATTAGATACGTCGAGTCGTTGGACCCACTGACCTGTGTTGGATCTCCACATTGGATCTGTTGACTACGAACGTCTCGACCCATATTGAATCTCCTTATTAGATATCTCAACTCGCTGTCACGGGACTATAAAATCTCTCGACTCATTGGATCTTTCGATTCACTGCCAATTGGAGATCTTTTGTCCGAAGGCAGTAAAACCACACCGGGTAAAGATGACCGCGTGACGTCACAGCTTAAGCCGCAGACACGCTTTTCACACATCATGTAAAACACACGGAGTTTCTTCGCAGACATGATGACACAATTATCCGCGGACACGCCTGGAACATGTTGGAAGCATGCTTGTTTTATGTATATCTATATACTTCAAACATGTTCGCAGACAGTTTTCACATGACCAATCTGACAGCGTGCACTGTCACACAAGTAAGACAGACGCTTCAGACAGTCTTTTGTATGATGTCCTTGCAGTGTACACCGCAGCTTTAGGGAAACCAGCCCTCACCCCCCACACAGACGCACACAGACGATCACCAACGTCGGTCGTCCGATGCCACACCGGATATAATGACACACGGGCACCGCGCCCGAGGATCCGGCACACCGACCGCGCGGGCAAAGGACTCCCCGAGCGACAGTCCGTCCGGGGACGGACAAGCAGGCGTCGCCAGACCAGACTGCAAGCTTATCGGGGCCCGCGAAGCGCGCAGAATTCCTAATTTCCTATCGACTGCTCCATCTCCTACCTCCCCCGTGGGCCTACCGCTGTACGAAACGCCTCTACGTCCACGTCGCTTACGGTCACACTTCGGTTACTGTAGCCGCACGACTCATAGCGGCGCGACTCATACCAGCACTTCGCCAGTCCTAATTTTCTCTAAGAGTAATGGTATCGTGCTTAGGTTAGACAACGGGAAGATAATCAGCCCCCCCCCCATGGGCATCTAGCGTCTCCGGTATAGGGGGTGATATTTAGCCAGTCCGGTAGCAGTGCTATAGCCTGGTGTCTTCAGCGGCAGTGCTGATACACGACCGCACACAGGAACGATGCACATCCAGATGGAAACGGGCATGGGTGGGGATTGAACCCTGCAGACAGACTTTTCTATGACCAATGAGACAACCCTTACACAAAGAAGAAACTTTGCCTCGTGTGCACAAGTCCTTCGCGTTTTCGTCTGCTCGGTGCATGGGTTCGACTGTCGTTAGTACGTGGAGCTATAAAGCACTGTCTAGGACCTCGAGCCTAGCATGAATTCCACTCTTAGAGGGCTTTGATTCGGGCGCGTTTCGTATACGTGCGTCCATTCATGTAATCAACAGAGCGTGACCCACCCCACGTTAGGCGTCCAAGGTTAGCGGCCGTGCTGCGCTGCTCAATATACACATTGACAGCAGAGATGCCATTTTGAGGTAGACTGACTTCTCGCTGCGTAAAGCGCTTAATTATATGAATTTGGAGTGCATTGCAGCTTGGCGTCAACTTCGTCACGCTGGTCAGGTCCATGCTGCTCACATCGTCAAGTAGCAAACCAGCGTATCATAGCAGGTTGACATCCTCCTACTTTTTTTTATAATGGGAATCTGTCAATAATTTATTCAATGAATAAAATAATCACTTCGATAGCTTCTTCTCCAAGCGGCCAGTTGAAGCCTTCTATACACTTCACGGCAGTCAATATTTGACGCTGCAAGCAACAATTCGCTGTGACTATAACCGATGTCTACTATACGACGCTCTTCTCACCACGCGAAGGCGGGAAAGAGGGCTGGGGGCAGGGGGTCAATTTTCGGGGGGGGGGGGGGGGGGGGGGGGGGATCTATGCGTGAACTGAAAACGAGGGGGGAGGGGGGCTGTCCTCCCTCCCCCTAGGCACCCATTTGGAAGACGGACACCACGGAGAAAACGGCTTCCTCTTCTCGGCGTGGTGGTCTGTCTGTAGCCACGCAAACGGGGGAAAGGGGGGGGGGGGGAGGGGGAGAAGCTTGACGCCATGCTAGGGGGCTACAGCAACGTTAGACTGGGAGAAGGGCGTCTGCTTCTAATGGGGTCCTGTACCGGAGACGGCGGCCAAGCGGCGGCGATGGAGGAGGGGGGTACCCGTGGCGCCTGCATGCCTAATTGTTGTCTTCGGTGAGGGGGGATAGTTGGTGCCCCTCGTCGGACGTGTTGTCTTTGCTGAGACATTTTTTGAGGGAGGATGGAGAACGACGTGACGGCTGCGAGCAGACGCGGTTGGCCGGAGGGTGGTTCGGTGGGGGTCTTCTGAGCTGAGCAAACACCGTGCGTGTCTTGCCAACTTTGTGGGTCACCACAAATATGCGAGTCAACAGTGAAGGCGTGTTTTGTTACGAGGAATATCAGGAAAAAAAAAACAGTGTTGGGAAGTATTCTAAGCACATTGTACTTTAAGTACTACCTCAAGTAGGTCTAGGAAACTTGTACTTTACTTGAAGTAGATTCTCTGAGCA